TTGATTTTCAATCTCCCACCAATGTGGGAGAGTTGATAAATTCAACAATTTATTTAATTCCAAATTAAATAAACAATTAAATCAATCACAACGCGACAAGTGGCACAATTACATGCTAATGGGTGATGCCCAAGGTTAGGAGGGGGGCCATAGCCTTGCTCCCCAAGGCTTAGCTTGGTCCCCACAACCACACACAAACCGGCTTCAAGGAGGGCTGTGTTGGCTGCCAGCTAGCGCTGCCAGCTAGCACCAGCTAGCAGCCTTGCATCCCCAGCCAGGCAGTGTGTGCTGGTGCTGGATGATGCTTGGCGCTGATGCGTGCTAGTGCTAGGCGCTGCTAGCTCGCTATGCTGGCTCTAGCCCTAATACTCCCACGCATTGCCTCAAACATACTCGCATGCTACGCACAACCATGCCAGCCAATCCCTCACGCACGCAAGGCTTAGCATGCGTGCTGCTAGCGAGCCATGCATGCTGGGCTTGGTGCTAGGCGATGGTGCACACGCAAACGCACATGGTGTTGTGCGTGGTGCTAGGGCTGAGATGGCGCCTAGGCATGATGCTAGGGCTGCGATGGCGCTTAGGCATGGTGCTAGGGCTGCGATGGCACTTAGGCATGGTGCTAGGGCTGCGATGGCGCCTAGGCACCCATGGCACGCATGGTGCGCCTAGCACACCATGGTGCACCTAGGTTCATGTTGAGCCAGCCTAGTCTAGCAGTCTACATGGCTAGGCCAGTGCGACGCTATGGCTACGCTCATACTTGTCGCTTGTGATTTTGCAACGCTCGGTCTCGATTCCCTAGGGTCGATATCCGACGTCTGTATTCGTAAAACTCCGTCGACTCATTAAATCCTTTGGAATAATTTGTCGTCTCGGATCGGTTGTTTGATTGGGTTCGACCCGAAGGGTTCAGTTAAGATTAAGCTGTAATATTAATTATACCTTAATATTACTGATCGGAAGCGGCCTCCACCTAGGGATTCCGATCACTTGACCTTATTGAAGAATTAGCTCTGTAATAATTCTGAACCCTCTATCAGAATAATACACTTGTTGGAAGGACACCATTCCTTTCACAAGCTCTCTTTTGTTTTTGTATTTTAAAATTTTTACCTTTATGTACGATCAATCATTATTATTTTTTTTACTTTACAATTTCTTTGGTGATGTTAGGTGAAAAGGATAAGCCTAGAAGAGGACCAACTATGTGCAACAACGTTCATGGACGCAGTGAAGAAGAACACTTGGAAATTTCCTTGAATGAGCATGGACAACCTGTTGGTGCAGATGACAAAACATGTAATGAGTTCACTAGTTTCTTAGGAACAATAGCCCGAAAAGCAAATATCCTACCATTGACTATCAAGTATTGACCCATACTAAGGAACGAGAAGAAAGAAGAACTCTGGGATTATGTCTTGGTGAGCTTATTAAACAAATATGATAGAAATGTTTTATAATTGCTTACGTTGTGTTATTTTGTCCCTCCTACATCTCTTGGTGAGTTACTCATTTCTCTAAAGCGTAGTTGAATTCTAGAGCTTTAATTTTAGTTCAATGTATAATGTGTTAGAGTGTCATGTTTAACTTGCTTTATTGGTATATCTTATTGTAAAAAATAAATTAATAAATAAACCCCCTAACTGTCATTATTGCTATTGATCTACTACGGTTGGCAGGGGCAGCTGCAGGCCTGGCTACTTGTTGCGTCTTCTAGCTACTACTGCATTGTATTGTGACTAAAAAATCATTGAATGTACTAATTAATTAATGCTAGAACTGTGCAACTGCATGGATGCAATAACTATTGTTTATAATTTTGTGTTCTAAGTGGCAGCATAGGTTTCAATGAGTTGTTTTCTTATGTTCTTGATTTGTGATTAAGATTAAGTGGTAGTGAGTTGTTTTGCAATGCTAATTTGATCACTTTTATGTAGTTCCTTTTAATTTTATGTTTTTGGAAATGTGTAGAAGTGCTTATACCCTACGATTTACGAGAATGTACTTAGTATGACAGTTGAGGTTAGAGTCCTTTTTTGTAATAATTAGTCCTTATACCCTACAATTTTTAATATGTTATTATCATAGAGCTAGTCTACTTAGTGGTACAAAGGTGAGATGTAGGGTGTGCAACACTTGTTTTCCTTTATATGTTGTTGAAATTTGGTATAACTTACTTTTTTTTAATTGTGTAGAGACATTATATTGTCCCAATTGAGGCCAAAAAATGGGTTTTGCAAACCATTAGCGCTGCTTGGAGACGATACAAATGTTATTTGAAAATAGTACACTTTCAAAAATATAACAATGATCAAAAAAGGATGATGGAACGACCAAAACGAGTGCCAAAAACAATGTTCAAGGATTTGTTAAAGATTTGGAATGATGACAAATATGAGGTATTTACATCTATATAAGTCTCCTATATTCCCCTCATAACGAATGCATATTTATTGTCTTAAGAAAAAAGTTATTTATTTATTTCACCATCTTAATCTATCAGGAACGACGTATGCAAAATAAAGCAAATCGGTTAGTTGGAAAGGAAAAGAATATTATGCATACTTCAAGCCCAAAGAGTTTTGCTAGGGTTCGATATAAGTGGGTGAGTTTGTTTGTTTTCCCATTTCAAATGATGCACAAATGCAAACAGGAGGATTTACAAATTCTTATATTCAACATTTTCAGATCTTTTCTTTTGATTTTTATATTATGCAAAGTAGGGGTAGATAGTGACTAAGGTCTTTATTATTTTCCTCTGTTTTTTTTTTTGTGCATTTGAGAGATAAACTAAGTTGGGAAATTCTCCACGACAGCTAAAGACACATTAGAAGTCTTCTTCCTTTCACAAAAAATTCATTGAATGTCGAATACCCTATCATTACTATTTATTGCTAGGTCTGGTATCTTATATGTTTGTTTCTAGAGCTTTTTTAGTGTTGCACGTTAATTTAAAGAATGCTTTAGTTTTATCAAACATTAATATATGCCTTATTTAGCTAGTCTTGTAACTTTATGGTAATAGTAGTATGAAATTGTTGTTATCAATTTTCTATTGGTTATAATTCAAGCTAGTTAAATTTCCATTCTTGCATTTGCAAATATTTTTCTAAGGGAAATTATAATTGAGTTGTATTAAAAATAAATAAAAAAATTTGCTGAATAAGTAGTAGATTTCGAACAATGCTACTCTTGAGAACTGGTTTCTACTTGAATTGTGTTTAATATACTTATCATTTTCTATTAATTAGGTGTTTATTAATTATGGGTTAGCCATAAGATTAACTTAATAAGGTTACTATGTGTATTACTCCGTATTAATAAAGAGTAGAGTGCTACTTTACGGAATATATGTTTTGCCGTGCCATCATACGTAATTTTTAGAGGTAATGCTATTGTATAGAATTCTCATATTAAGTTTTGTTATTCTGTAAAAAAATAAATAAATAAAAAATCATCCAAGCCTTGTATCTATTATTTTATACCTTTCTTTTTTGTTAATATCATCATGTTATTAGTTATGTATTTACATTAGGACATTTGAAATACAAAGTAATTTAATTCCCGACTTTTTTAAAAAAAAAATTTCAGGGAGTGAATAGTATGTAGGATGAACAAGATGAAGATGAAGGCAGCGTGTAAGAAGAAGAAGAGGAATGTGACGTCATTGTTCAATTTTGAATTTTCTTTAACATTTTTATTGTTATTTCTTGTTTGGATTTAATTTTTTCTTATATTTATTAGCTAGACTAATATTATAGCGTATAACATACTATGAAACAATAGGTTATTGAGATGAATTTGGTATTGAAAACATGTTAATACTGCTTTTGTTTTTTTTTTTTTTTTACTAATTAATTATATAAATTAGGGATCTCGAGTCAAATGCTTATTACATGTTTTAATGATAAAAATTTTTCTTATATAACAAATTCACAAGAATACTACATATTTCACTCTTTCATTATTATATAGCAATGTATTACAATCGGAAAAAAAAATAGCCAATTTATTCTAGTTATTTAATTTTATATAACAACTTTTAAAGTGTTGTCTTTAAAATATTTGGCAACACTTATGGATTATTGCTAGCAAATACAACAAGTGAAAAGGTTGTTGCATATTATGACATAAGGTGACAATTTTGAATTGTCGTTTAAGATGGCAACAATTTTTATTTGTTATCTTTGTTGAACTGTTGCCTTAGGTATTATTTTACCTTGACTTTTAAAATTGTTGCCTTTGAACTAAAAACTGTTACCTTATGAATAGACAACGGGGGCATAAATTACGCCTCATATGTGTTGCCTTAGGTACAAAGAAACACTTTTTTAATATTAGGCAATGGTTTTTCACTATTATCTTAGCTTCATTTTGTTGTAGTGAGGTCAATCGCCATAAAAGGACCTTTTGTGCCACCTTTTTTATAAAAGGACCTTCTTCACTATGTCGGCCACTTAAGAGGAGCTTTCTCGCAAATTTTCCATACAATAATAGTGATGATAATATAATTTTGAAGTATGAAAAAGGTACTCTTGTCTTAGTAGTGATGACAAGAGTACGACTTTTCCATACTCTTGTCATGACTATACAGTACATAAAGAGTATGTATTTTGTATAATTATACACTATACATGTATTTATATATGAGACAATGTCTAGAAATAACTATGGAAATGACAAGGAATAATGACTATGGCCAAGTTATGGAAATGTCCAAAACTTGATAGCACTTGACATCCCCAGCCCGCGTATTTCCCAAAATTAAATTGCGGTCGTCTTTAACCTACCCACCCTTGAAAAAACCCTAATCTTTGCAACTACACTCATCCATGGAGATAAAAAATTAAACCCCCCAAAAAACTTGATAAACTATTCTATAAACCCTAAAAATAGCCTCTGCAATTCAATGAGTAAATCTCTGTTCCTCATTATGAGAATAAGTGTTTCTTATAATGGCCTTTCTGAAATTAAAGTGATGTCTTTCACTTCCTGGGATGCTGAATCGGATTCGCCTATGTGTTAATTTGCTGAGTGGTGCTGAGTGGGGACATCCTTGTGTCAATCTGTTTAACGGATGGCGTTACATTGTTGAGGTTAGGCAGGAAAATATTCACACATCACATCTTTACACCATCTTCATACATCTTCTAGTTGAACAGCTTCCAGACCCAATTTCCAGACCCAGTTGATTTAGTAGGTAGTTTTCTGTTCTCTTTCTTTGTCGCTTCTTCTAGTCGTGAGTTTTTTTATGTTCAATGTACATCTTCGAATTAGCAGGTTGTTTTCTATTCTCTTTCTTCGTCGCTTCTTCTAGTCGTAAGTTTTGTTCTGTTTTAGGGTGTTGATGCAACAACATTTCATGAAATTGAATTCATAATTGCGACCAAAATCAGAATAATTTTGAAAGTACGTTGTCATTATGTTAATAAAAAAAAGTGGCTTGGGGGTATGTTAACGAATTGGTTCACAACAGAAACGAGACTTCATAAATTTAGGGACTTGAGAATGGAACAAAGGGCAGGGAGACTCGTCCGTCTCCCAAAGAGAGATGCGACGGTGGTGAAGAGACAATTATCTCACGCAGGCGGATCTCTCTCTAGATATCTATGGATCTCTAGAGAGAGATGCGAAAGTAATAGCCTTATGTTATGGCCGCTCCCCGACTTACGGCCTTTACGCTACTACTACTGTTACTGTGAGCGGTTCAAATTCCAATTTTGTTGATCTTTCCCAATCATTCTGGCCGGAACTTGTACGCAGCACTTGTTAAAGGTTTAGAACTCTTTTTTTATCTGAATCTAAAGGACAGGACCTTACCCTATTCTCGAACCCTCCGCGGAGCTCTACCCTGCCCGCATTTCCTTTTTTTTAAGGGGGTCGCAGAAATATCTCCACCTCCTATTATGAGGTTGAATGCCTCTGTTAAAATGGGTGGTTTGAGGTTACTGGAAAATGGCTGAATGATGTAGTTGAAAATGCAATTTATACTTTTTGATAATGTGTTATCTTCGTATGCTTTGAAACAAATCCCTCTGTTGATTTGTGTTAATTTTTGAAATTTGGTTGTATTACTTTGTTGGTTGTTCAATTGGTTGGTTGATTTGTGTTGGTTGGTTGTATTTTTGTGTTGGGTTGAATTTGTGCTGTGAAAACGTGTTGTTTGGTTGATTAACTGGTTTAATTTGTATTGTAATTATGTTGGTGTTTTGTATTAATTTGTATTGTAATTATGTTGGTGCTTTGTATTTGAAGGGTGAATTTTTTTTGATGGAGAAGACTGATATTATGGAAATGGAAACTGAAGGCGTTATTAGGGGCAGTGAGGTTGGTGTCGGTGATTGTGTCAATGTCATTAAGTTTAGGAGTAAAGTTGATATGGAGGAGGAGGAGGGCAATGATATGGAGGGTATAGAAGACATAGTTGTTGCAGATAGTTGTGCTGAGGGTGTTGGTGTAGGTGCAGTTGACATGAATGTGAATGTTAGGTATTTATCCCCAGTGAAAACAATTCATACGACTCACATTGTTGTTGGTAGTAATGAAATGCGTGTAATTGTTGAGGAGCATAAGGAAGGGATGGTGTTCCGGTCTTGGCACGAGGTTGAAGCCTACTACAAGGAGTATGCTGAGAACATGGGGTTTGGAGTGTCAAGGGTTCAAGGCGTAAATTCTAAGATGGCGGACAAACAAAGAATCGCAAACACGTGGAAGTGTGAGTGTTGGGGTAAACCCTACATGAGGGCTAGGAGGGAAGCGAATAAGAGGGCAAAGGCAATGGGTGTTGGAGATTCAGGTGGTTTAGTTGATGGGGTGGTATGTGAGGATGAGTTAAGTCGTAGGAAGAGGACTTCGAAAAAGTGTGAATGTGAGGCCCGTGTTTATGCTAAAGTTAATGAACATGGCATGTGGGTGGTGAAGACTGTGCACTTAGAGGATAATCACAAGATTGATTCGGCAAATTCTAAGCTTGTGAAGGAGTACCGCATGAAGCAAATGACCTCAAAAGTGAAGAAGAAGTTGATGGATTTCTATGATCAAGGTGTACCAATTTCTCAAATAAACAGTTGCATGGCAACCGAACAAAACGGTAACATGGCTCTCACCGTCAAAGATTTACAACATGAGGTGTACAAGGCTAGGCGGTTGAAGATGGTTAAATGGGACTCGGTGGCAATGATGGAGTACTTTGAAAAAATGCAATCCAACAACTAAATTTTTTTCCATGCTCAACGTTTGGATGAAGAAGGGAGGCTTAAGGATGTATTTTGGGTGGATGCAAAAATTAGGGTAGCTTATGAGGACTTTGGTGATGCGGTTTTCTTCGACACAACATACCTAATGAATGAGTACGAGCTCCCATTTGCGAACTTTGTTGGTGTGAACTACCATGGGCAATCGTTGTTGTTGGGATGTGCTCTTGTTTCACATGAAGACTGCGATACGTTTGCGTGGATATTTCGACAGTGGCTAGCTTGCATGAACAACTGAGCTCCTAAAGCCATTTTGACCGACCAAGCGGCAGCTGAAGTGATGCCAAACACGGTGCATCGTTGGTGCATATGGCATATCATGAGCAAGATCCTTGAGAAACTTGGCAAGTGTGCACGGTATGTTATGATATTCCTCCTGCCTTATAAATTAAAATTTGCTATGTTGAATACAAATCTGCACAAGGGGGGCGGGGGCGGGGGGGGGGGGGGGGGGGGGTTGAATAGGAGAGGATGAAAAATTTCCGCAAATCTCAAGGTCTTGAGATCAATTTCATAGGAAGAATAAACTAATTCACTTATTAAACAAAGACTTTGAAATTCAAGTCAAAGTTGATAGACAGCCTTTTGACTTTTCAACAAATTGTAAAATTGCGAGTTAAACTGTTGTTCTGCTGTTATGTACTCTAACCTTGCTCATTTTTGTCTAGTTACCAAGAGTTCATCAACCCCCTCAAAGAGCTGGTGTATGAGAGCTTTGACCCCGAGGAGTTTCATATCCGATGGGCAGAGTTTATAGCTGAGTATAAGTTGGAGGACAATGAATGGCTACAGAGCCTACACAAAGAGAGTTGTATGTGGGTGCCTACTTACATGAAAGAGTTTTTTTGGGCTGGTATGAAGACCACACAAAGGGTGGAGAGCATCAATCGGTTTTTCGATGGCTATGTTAACCGCAAAACCAAACTACATGAGTTTCCTCAAAAGTATTGCATGGCCTTGGATCAACGCGTTCGAGATGAAGTGAGTGCAGATGAGCGTTGCTCGAAGTACCTTAGGAGGTTGGTTAGTTTCTTCAAAGTGGAAAAAATATTTCAAAAGTTATACACAGACATGTTTCAAGAAGTTCAAAAGGAGTGTACGAGAATGATGTATTGCAACGTCTGAGGACAGAAGGTTTTGTCTGAAAACCTTATTCAGTATTCAGTGGTCGATCGTGTATGGATAATACCTCCCGGTGCTAGTGAGGATGTCATTACAGATAGGCGAAGAACCTACAATGTTACTTTGTTTCCAATTACAAAGGAGGTACAGTGTGACTATAGGAAGTTTGAGACAAGCGGCATACTTTGCAAACACTGTATTAGGATTCTCGATGAAAACTTGGTTAAAGATCTGCCAGAGAAGTACATTGTATCCCGTTGGCGGAAGGACATACCTCGAAAGCAAACTAGGGTGAAGGTGGCCTACCATGATCCGGGCGACACGGTTATTGTGAAGAGATTCAACAAAATGATGGGAAAATTCGAGCCCTTGTATGAAACCGCTGCCATGGTGGATGATCAAATGGTCCATATGGTAATTGATACACTGTCGAAGCTTCAATTAGCTGTTAATCACCATAGGGACAAGAAGAGTCAAGAGAATGTTCCTGTAGTTAGTACACTGTCATCAACAGGTGAAGACATAACGATTTCCTCAGTTAGGAATCCTGCTCCTACTGCTCCTGCAGAGCCTAGAGACCCCCATCCAGCTGCCATGGACCCTATTATCAAAGACCCTATAATTAAGAAAAGGAAAAGGGGTAGGCCAAAGGGTTCAAGGCACAAAACGTTAGCTTAAACTGGCTACAAGAAAACAAACAAGAATAAGAAGCCTAGTCCTGTTAAGATTTATGCTTTGTTTTATGTTCAATAACTGCTTATCCTTTTATTATTTTATTCATTCTCTGACTGCTGTTATATCTATATCATATAGGATGCTGAAGATGGTGTTGGTGTTGAGGAGGATGCAGGAAATGGTGTCGAGGAGGATGCAGGAAATGGTGTTGAGGAGGATTCAGGAAATGGTGTTGAGGAGGAAATGGTGTTGCGGGAAATGGTGTTGAGGAGGATGTAGGAAAAGGCAGGAATGGCAGAACTAGGTAAAACAAAGGGGGAGACAAAAAGGAAGGGCATTCCAATCAAGGGGAAGGCAAGTACGTCTTCTTAGTGATTATTTATATCACATTTAACTAATGATCGATGAGTGACCATTTAAGTTTGCTGCACATCGCACCTCACAGGTGAAGCAAAAACGTCTTGATGAACTACTGGCCGATGAGTGACCATTTAAGTTTGCTGCAGCAAAGGTACTCTAATTTACTTGAATTTTAGTGTGATTGGTGATTCCATATTGGTTACCGCCTTTAAATTAATGTATTCTGAATGCAGACTCATGATTAAATATGAAGACTCTGAGTATAGAAGAAACAGATATAGCTTGTTGTTACGGGAGCATATGAAGACCGGTTATTGTGTGAGCCTGTTGTTTAGTTTGTATCGGGAATTATCTGTTTGAAAAACAGACAGATATTGTATGAGTATGACAACTTTCCGCAAATATAAATCTCAAGATCTTGAGATCAGTTTCAAGGCAAAAGATTGAATACACTGATTCAATCCAAAGCTTTGAAATCCAACTCAAAGCTTGTAAAACTAGTGAGTTAAACTGAAATGTGATTATAAACATTTGAAACATGTGAAACAAAATCAACAATGAGATGTTCAAAGAAATTTTATTGGGTTAGAGTATGACAAAATTTGCAAACATGTAAAAACAAAAGCATAGCATTTGCAAACATGTAAAAACAAAAGCATAATAAGAACAACAAGATGTTCAAAATAAGTGGCTCCATTACAAAGTGGCTATACAGTTTATCCCAATGACATGGTAGTGACAAACCCCAAAAGATGATCAGTGATTTGTCACACACCAAAAACTACCATGACATTGTGATCCTAATATAAGTAACTAAAATAAGAATAAACTTAGAAAAAAGCTTTACATTAGCAGCTTCTCACAACACAAACCAACAAGCTGCACCCCCCCTCCCAAGACAGCCTAGTGCTCCTTGAAGAGTAATGGAAACCCATCAAAGTAAGCAGTCATATCCTTGTTGAGCCAAGCATGAAGATCGCGACCGTTGTTGTAGATGAGATCATTGAGAACCCACTCATTGACGGAGGCCATGGGCCCATGAAAGGGTTGGAGGTTAGCCAAGTGACGAGTGCGCCACCACAGCCTCCACTTCTTGTAGACTTGCTTTACATTCCCCCGACTCAGCCAGTCAACCTTTAAGAAGATGTGGATGCAAAGGAGGTCGAGGTTGCTGAAGATGGGGTGGGCATTTGATCAAGCGTCCGTACCTGGAAAAATAAAAAAACAAAACCCCATATTTTAGTACCTTCAAACCCTAGTGATGGCGAAATGAGGAAGATCAAGACAAAAAACAGGAAAATACCAGACACAATATAGCACATGCAGAAATATAAGCATGATCAGCCAATTCCCTAGATAATTCCCCCAAAATAATTTCTAAAGTCATGATCAGCCACCCACAACAACAAAGAACCATTAAAAATAAATAAAAAAAAATTGGCCGAAAATCAAAACCCCATAATTCAGTACCTTCAACCCCATTTACGGCGAAATGAGGAAGATCAAGAAAAAAATAGGAAAATACCATACACAATATAGCACATGTAGAGAAATAAGCAAAATCAAAATGTTAAAAACAAAAAACGGAAAAAACCCATAATTTAGTTTCCAAAACCATTAATAGCGAATTGAGGAGGAACAAAAAATAGGAATATACCTTTAGGAGAATTAAATTTTTGTAGTTCGTCTTGCTTAGATTCTCTAGCACAATCCCATATTAATGGCGATGCGTGAAGAGGGAAGAAAGAGGTTTTTTTCCCTTTGAAACAAGTATTTTCTTTTCTAAAAGGTGAATTGGCGAGGAAGACGAAACAAAAAGAGGGATGGAATATGGAAAGCCATTAACCTTTCCAATTCTCGCGCCAATCTGCTAAAGGAAATGATGTCGTTTCGATTTTCGATGCCATCTTTTTTTTTTTAATTTTTTTTGTTTTATAAAAATCTTTCCATTTACTTTTTTATTTTTATTTGTAAAACCTTTCCATATACTTTGGTTTTTCTGTCTTAAGAGTTTGACAATTAGATTTTATTGCTTAGATTTTCGATGCCAGCTTTTCTTTTTTATTTTTTAATTTTGTTTTTTTTAAATATTTCCATTTTTTTATATTTTTTATTTTTAAAACCTTTCCATATTCTTTGGTTTTTTTGTCTTAAGAGTTTTATAATTAGGTTACCTTCCCTAAAATTTGTCCCATTTGTCAGATTTAAGCTAAAGGAAGGATTGGTATTGTAGGGTATACTAAGATCATCAACGACAATCCCAAATTTATGTCTTTTAAGAAGTAGTAATCATAAATTAATACAGAGTATTTCTTTATTTATTAGTTCATACAAAGTATTAATTTCTTGTTCACATTTCCATTAAGATTTCATTCTTGATACGTAAAGTAATCTTATGTAAACTTGCCTAAGGGAGAGATTATTAAATATTCGGGAAGTTGTTAGATTAAATCTTTTAAAACACGTGAATGATTCATGTAAAGGAATTGATATATTTATATTGTATCATTTGCATTTTGATACATGCATAGGATGAAGTTGAGTCACTTCCCTATAAATCAAGTAAATAATTTATATAAACGAATTCATAGTGATATAACAAAGAAATGTAACTAATTGGAATGTGTTAAAGAGTAAGTTTTTTAAATCTTGTGAATTGTTTACACATAGGAATTCATAACTTTATGTAGCAGTGATAGCACCATCCACGTTTTGCTTTGTAAAGAAAATTGGTTGAAAGATGGTTAGGATTAGCGCACCTTCTTTTTAAAACCACATGAATAACATTATCATAAAGGAATTCATATATTGATTTATATCGTGCCGCCCACATTTACATCTCTAAATCACGTGTAGGGTTTACATAAAGAAATACAGTTTTGGAACTTGTATCATTAACATTTGAATACAATTATTATATTTGGTCTGTTGTTTTATATTGGGTTTACATAAAGCTTTGACTTTTCAACAGATTGTAAAATTGCAAAGTTGACTTTTCAACAAATTATAACACTGCGAGTTTAACTGAAATGTGATTATAAGAATTTGAAACATGTAAGAAAAATCATATATGAGATGTTCTAAATAAGTGGCTTCATTCATACTTCTTATGTTCCTAATTAGATGACACGTTTCTTTTATCATGTTTGCCAACGCACAATTTTAAGAATTTATTATCTCCATTATCAACATTGTAAAATTAATAAAATTGAATATTAATAAAATATACATTAAGACGATTTAAACAAGATCCCACATGATTATTGTTTCGGGGTTTTCTGATGTCCTGCGGGAGAGTTACAATTCCGAGACTTGAACCGGACGCCTGTACCTGCAAAATAACGGAGACTCCTGGGAGCTCCGCCTCCAACGGTCAAGTTAGTACTTGATTAAGGAGTAATTAATGCGGAAATTAAAGTGATTGGGTCTCTCTAGGTGAGAGTGTTTAATGTAGGTAATCTGCTTTGTTAGCGAGATCAGCCGGTTATTACTGTGTGTAATTAATGTGTTTTTTCCGTTCTTTCCCTTAATGAGGATTAAGGGAGGTATTTATAACCTTGGGAAACGTGCCCATCCTAGGTTTAGGTTAACCTAGGGCCGATTGGGCTTCCCTCGGAAGTTGGGCCTGGGTGGCCGGTTTCTCCATTAGGCATGGAGTATGCCACATGTCATGACATAACATGTCCAAGGTGGACGAATAAGCGCGTGCCACGTGGCAAGCCCTGACAGTTCCAAATGGGGGACACTTGGCAGGACCTGATTGGCCCACGTGGCGCATTCCGATTGGTGGGAGCAAAATCCCCTAATCATTTGCCTCTCATAGGTGGCACGTGATTGGTCACGTGTTACCTGTGACAGGTGTCGCACTGTAACAGGCGGCGACCTTCTACAAGTGACATTCGGCGAAAGGACGAGAGATTTTCCCGCCCAAATTTTGAATTCTGAAAGTGACCCTTCGCCTTCTCACTTCGCCTATATAAGGGAGGATTGTCTTGAGTCATTTTCACACTTTGAGAACTTTTTGAGAACATTCGGACCCCTGAACTTGCTCTGACATTTCAGACCTTTTCTGCCTACCGCCTGTCTGACAAGCCGACTGCACAGGATTTTCAGCATTTCATCAATCATCACTCGTTCAGGTAACTGTCGGTTCTCTTACTCTTAATTTTCTTTTTATTTTTTTGAAATGGCACCACGGAAGCACAAGACACGACCTAGGTTAGTGATCAGCCGGTCACCGGGGACGGCTGAATCTAGGACTAGGAGTGCCGCCTGCCCTTTTCCGGACCCATCTTTGCCCTTTATACAAAGTCCGACTGTATCTGTGTCTATGCAGAGCAGGATGGCCAGAACGAAAAAGACTACTAGGATCTCATATTCAGACGGCTCCTCCCACAGGGTGCCGCTTAGTGAAACATCTGACCAGGCGCCAGATGTGGAAGTGAAACAAGGCGGCCTGAAAGCCGGCAATTCTGAGGGAGGAGTCATAGTGACCCCTTCCCATTTAACAGTTAACAAATCTGCTCCTTTTCAAAGAGAGGAGGCGGGCCCCTCCGGGAGAGGGGAGGAGTCGTCCTCTTCGGACTCGTCAGAGGACGATTCCGAGTCAAGCTCTTCTGGCCATGTTTCTTTGGACACAGAAGAGAAAAACAGCTGCCTGTAAGAGGCGAGACTTTCTCACGCAGTTGAGAAGGGGGACAATTGGGCGGAGCCATCCGCCTCTCACCGAGAGCTAAATACCCCCTATTACTGCACGGTACCTCGGGGCCGGATCACAGCCATGCAAGAGAAAATGGAGAGCTTCATTGCAAACCACACCATGGGCCCCGACTTTCTAGTGTTTGTCCCAGATCCAGAAGACACAGTCGTCTGGCCGGCTGGTTCCAGTTATGATAGCGCCTGCTTTGGCTGCTACGAGG